GGCATCTTTTTAGGATTTATTGGTAAATCCTTTAATTTTTATTTATTGTTGTATTTTTTGCATATTTTATTTTTTTAATTTATTTGGGAAAACTCCAAAGACATTGAAAAATGAAAAGTTTTTAAAAAAAAATTCTTTTATTGTTGATCAAGGTAAATCATTCTTTGATTCAGCTCAATACTTTTACATCCTTAAGACAAAGTTGAATAGTGCATTACTATAAGTCTTAGTGTCTGATCCTTAAACCAAAATTTCTTTCACCCTTGCGTGCTTGGATTGTACAAGTCTTGAGAAAATTCATAAAACCAAGTGCACGCCAACCATTCACCTTCATACGTAAGAGTCTTCCTAGTTTGAATTATTAATGAGCNTTTAACTGGATCAAGTAAGTAAAGAGTAAGTTATGCCTATAATGCGCCTACGTGCAATTCTTAGCACAACCACGCACTGATAACAATCAGGGAAGGGGAGATTTGTAGATCCTTTCTCAAGATTATCCACGTAGAATCGCACTAGATGATCTAGAATGGGTGAATAGATTAGTTTAAATTTTGACTTGAACAAACACCATTTTATAACTTAATTACCATAATTACCAACAAAGGTGATTAATTTGTCAATTAGTCCTTTGAACGCCTTTTTCCCACTTCAAGAACAACCCGCCATGTGAGCGGATGTTATGTATATGTCAATATGCAAGATCTATCGAAAATATAGAATTCAAACAATCATTACATCGAACACATTGTGTTTTTTATATGTGTATGCAATTGCAAGTGTATATGAAAACTAAAGCAATAAAGAACACCCACAACTCATGCAATTTGTTTATGCGAAAACCCTCTTGGAAAATACTGCGAAAATCGATCTCGGTTTACTTAGAACCTAATCCACTAAAGTCGATTCAATTATCTCCTTCTTAAATGTGTAATGTTGAATAGGTAGAATGAAGATGGTTTGGCCTTTAGATCTTAGGGATCTAAGGTTGTTCTTGGCTGTCTATATGTTTTAAAGGCAGCTTTGGAGCATGTTACAGAGTTCTAAGGAGTCTCCCTAGCTCGGGAAGACTTTCCCTATTTATAGGTCCACAATTAGGTTTGTCTTTGGGTCCAAGAAAACACAAAATCACGAACCACCGCTCAAGCCATCATAGAGTGGTGGGACTGCAGTTGGAATTGAAATAAGAAAATGATTCAATCAAGTCAACAATAGCAGAGACCGCTCAAGCCGTCTACTGGTCGCTCAAGTGGCCAAGAGGGTAGTCTCTACTGCCCAACTCATTAGTCTTCCCCAATTTTTTCTCAAGTGTCCAAAGATAGCTCTAGCTAAAAGCANAGGTTTGTCTTTGGGTCCAAGAAAACACAAAATCACGAACCACCGCTCAAGCCATCAAAGAGTGGTGGGACTGCAGTTGGAATTGAAATAAGAAAATGATTCAATCAAGTCAACAATAGCAGAGACCGCTCAAGCAGTCTACTGGTCGCTCAAGTGGCCAAGGGGGTAGTCTCTACTGCCCAACTCATTAGTCTTCCCCAATTTTTTCTCAAGTGTCCAAAGATAGCTCTAGCTAAAAGCAAGTGAGAAAAGGGTTTGTCCCTATTAGTTTTTAAATTAGAAACCAAGCAAAAATTAGATCTATTGAGCATCAAGGAGTATTGCTCAAATAAGATCTGATACATGATCTATTCTATGTTTTTAAACCACATTTGATGTTTAAAAAAAATTATGAAAAGTCTAAGGGTCATTCACCAATAATCCTAAATCCAATTCGATTAAACTAATGAGTCAAAGTCTAAGATTAACCAAGGGTCTTAGATATCTAGATTATTGTCTTTGTCCTAATCCTTGAAGGTCCATTGGAGGTGTTCTTGATACAACTTTAAAGCTTGACCTCCTTCCTTCCTTGACGCATTCGGAACTTAATTTTTAAGGCATCATGATCATCGAATTTGGTTCAAATTTATAATAAAACTTCATGAANTTATTGTCTTTGTCCTAATCCTTGAAGGTCCATTGGAGGTGTTCTTGATACAACTTTTGAAGCTTGACCTCCTTCCTTCCTTGACGCATTCGGAACTTAATTTTTAAGGTATCATGATCATCAAATTTGGTTCAAATTTATAATAAAACTTCATGACNAGACTTGGACATATGCAATAGCGATTATCTCCTGACCTAACCCCTTCTAAAAAAGACATTTTTTTCATCATTCAATACCATGGCAATTATCTTTTGTGAAGCGTACGACATGACCATCATCACACAACTGGCTAATGCTAATCAGGTTAGCCTTTAGCCTTTCCACATACAAAACATTGTCCAATTTAGGCATACCAAATTCCAACAACCTTGGAAACATTCTCTTCTCCAAATGTGACCGTCACGCCACTATATTTTTCTAATAGGTAAAAGTGGGATTTTCACCTGTAATGTGCCTAGAACACCATCTATAGAAGTACCATTTGTTTCCAACCTGGGCTTTCAAGGACATGTGTACTACAAGACACTTATCTTGACTAGTGAATTTATTCGTCTCAATGGACAAACCTTTAACTGGATCAAGTAAGTAAAGAGTAAGTTATGCCTATAATGCGCCTACGTGCAATTCTTAGCACAACCACGCACTGATAACAATCAGGGAAGGGGAGATTTGTAGATCCTTTCTCAAGATTATCCACGTAGAATCGCACTAGATGATCTAGAATGGGTGAATAGATTAGTTTAAATTTTGACTTGAACAAACACCATTTTATAACTTAATTACCATAATTACCAACAAAGGTGATTAATTTGTCAATTAGTCCTTTGAACGCCTTTTTCCCACTTCAAGAACAACCCGCCATGTGAGCGGATGTTATGTATATGTCAATATGCAAGATCTATCGAAAATATAGAATTCAAACAATCATTACATCGAACACATTGTGTTTTTTATATGTGTATGCAATTGCAAGTGTATATGAAAACTAAAGCAATAAAGAACACCCACAACTCATGCAATTTGTTTATGCGAAAACCCTCTTGGAAAATACTGCGAAAATCGATCTCGGTTTACTTAGAACCTAATCCACTAAAGTCGATTCAATTATCTCCTTCTTAAATGTGTAATGTTGAATAGGTAGAATGAAGATGGTTTGGCCTTTAGATCTTAGGGATCTAAGGTTGTTCTTGGCTGTCTATATGTTTTAAAGGCAGCTTTGGAGCATGTTACAGAGTTCTAAGGAGTCTCCCTAGCTCAGGAAGACTTTCCCTATTTATAGGTCCACAATTAGGTTTGTCTTTGGGTCCAAGAAAACACAAAATCACGAACCACCGCTCAAGCCATCAAAGAGTGGTGGGACTGCAGTTGGAATTGAAATAAGAAAATGATTCAATCAAGTCAACAATAGCAGAGACCGCTCAAGCAGTCTACTGGTCGCTCAAGTGGCCAAGGGGGTAGTCTCTACTGCCCAACTCATTAGTCTTCCCCAATTTTTTCTCAAGTGTCCAAAGATAGCTCTAGCTAAAAGCTAGTGAGAAAAGGGTTTGTCCCTATTAGTTTTTAAATTAGAAACCAAGCAAAAATTAGATCTATTGAGCATCAAGGAGTATTGCTCAAATAAGATCTGATACATGATCTATTCTATGTTTTTAAACCACATTTGATGTTTAAAAAAAAATTATGAAAAGTCTAAGGGTCATTCACCAATAATCCTAAATCCAATTCGATTAAACTAATGAGTCAAAGTCTAAGATTAACCAAGGGTCTTAGATATCTAGATTATTGTCTTTGTCCTAATCCTTGAAGGTCCATTGGAGGTGTTCTTGATACAACTTTAAAGCTTGACCTCCTTCCTTCCTTGACGCATTCGGAACTTAATTTTTAAGGCATCATGATCATCGAATTTGGTTCAAATTTATAATAAAACTTCATGAAATTAACCAATTACAATCGCAATCGATTTCCTAACAGAAAGAAAGCTAAAAAGTTAAAATAGTGAGGCCCGTTGGCTTACCCCTCAAGCGATCTCCACTGTTGTGGCCTAGATTTATTCTTTGTTCAGTCTAGCAGCCATTGCCCGACGACTGCTGGCCAAAAACTCTGGATTGTCCATCCCAAATTTGAATTTTCTTGAACCACAAATAAACACTGATTTTGGGACCTATTTATATTTAACTTTTTTTTTTTGTTACAAACTTATTCGTAAAGATTTGTACCCTAAACAAATTGAACTTCTATAAAAGTGGCTAGATTTTATATTTTTATGGATTCTTTATAATTGCTGCCCTCATTTTCATTTTCTTAGGGGTGAGTAATTATAAAAATACCAAAAACTTTAAATTTTTAGTAATTTAAAATATGATTGGTCATAAAATTAAGAGGAATAATTGATGTTCTCTTTTAAAGGATATATGAAGCAAAAATTAATTGATTAATAAATTAGAGGTAAAAATATAATCCATTTTCATAAGAAGGAAAAAATTAAAACAATAAAGTAATCAAAAATAAGAATTAATTGTACAAATGAAAATATATGATTTAATGATTTTTTGTATAAAAAAATACGACTAATTGGGAATTTACCGAAAATGAGTATTAGAATCATTAAATAATGAAATAAATAACATCTATAAATATAGATAAAGTTACATAAGACCATATGAATCACTAATGTAGTGTAGAGCTGCATTTACAGTTTACATAATATGCTTACTACACTAGCCAGGACCCCAATTTTATTGGACAAAAACGCCATCAGACATTTCAATTCAAAGCCAAAACTAGGGACATATTAGTCTTGGAAACTCTACCATCTCTCTTCGTGCACCATCCAACGAACAAAACTTCTGTGGCCTTCAAGTTGGCGACTCCTCCAATAAGTTAAACTGTCCACCAGAGAGGGAGCAACAATTCTGCTGCCTGGCACATCAACTCCCCCAGGCAGGCATGATATCTGAAAGAAGTAGGGGAACAAACAAGCAGCCATTGCACAGATATCGCCGGAAGGCAGAGTCAAGTCTCAGAACAACATGTCACTGAAATTGCCATTGCCCATCTTCTCCAAGTCTTCTTGTGACAAAAGTGTTTTCTTACCACTACCACCAGTTTTATCATATGGCTGAGCCATCTTCCGCAAGAACTGCACCCATGGGGAAAAAGTTGGATAATTTAGGTCCACATGCAACAAACAAGACATAGTATCACAACCATTTGAGATGTTCCAACATCCTCTTATCTCAACATCTTAATATGTCGACATTATAGCATCACTTTCAGGAAGTCTCAGATTGACAATGAATGTAATGAGATTAGCCTCAACTGTACACAAGTATATTTTGTGAGATATATGCCCCAACTTGACCTTTTGATTGTTCAGCAATGCATATTTACTCAATAGAGTTAACAGCAATGATTAGTTCTACTACAAATAAATATTTCTTGGACACTCAAAGTTATGAGAACTAGCTAAAGAGGAGAGCCAAAACTGATGCTTCATTGTTGGGAATAGTTCTGTCCGTGTCTGACAAGTACTTGTAGTTCACAATGGAAGACATAAACCTACTGGAACAGCAATAATGGCATACCTCTCTTGCTATATGCACAGCCATATCAGTACTCAAATTCAGGTGTGCATCACGTAAGTGTGACAGTATCCATCCAGGCAACTTAGAGCGTTTGTCATGACGGCTGTACCTGCATGTATTATCCATCCAGACAAAGGCATTACAGAGAATAACAAAATGTTATCGTCAGAAGATGAGGAGGTAAAAATATCATAAAAGTAAATTGATAAAATAATAGTGACTGTTTGATTGACTAACGTTACATGTATTCCTTAGGTCAATAAGTAGCCCTTTAATCATCATTCAATGAAGTTCTGGCTGACAAGGCCTACCACTAGCAATCAATGTCCAAACTCAAAAGCTTTTAGCCATTGCACCAAACGTCGTCCCCTCCAACCAATGTTCAAACTCAAAACATGACACAGATATTCTATCGCATAACACATTCCACAATTTCCAGTTTTTCTCTTGGAGGTGCAGATTGCCTTTGCAAGCAACCAGGAAAGGGAATAATACTACACCACATTCTCTACATGTGGTACAATGGTAACGGAATGTTATATGACACAGTTGGATTGGAAAGAATCATGCAGAAACATCTAACAAACTGTAAGCCTTCTACATTGAGACTTTGATTGCATTCCTTGTTTAAACATATGTTCGAAAATACACATTATTTGATTCAATCATTTATTTAAGTTTTCAAGGAAGCTATAAACAACTTTAATAATTTTGTCACACCTCAGGGGCAGCTTATGAATAGCTTCAAAGCAAATCCACAGTTAGACATTTAAGAATACAATGATGTATTGAATGAAAACACGTGTACAAACCTTTTGTCAGCAAAAATCATCATCCCATAATCTGCTTTTGACCGGATCACTCGTCCCACGCATTGAGCAGCTTGCCTCTGCAACAGTATAGTGTGCCCACTTAGTGGATGTCATGTTTTTTAAGTGAAATATGAACTTGAACAATTCTACGACACAAACCAATGCAGATTTCTTGAATGAACCAGTTCAGTTAAAAAATTACCAAAGCATCAAAAGTCAGAAAATCACCCTCCTTGATCTGGAAAGTCTCCCGCAAATACTCTAACCTTGCTAGCAATATTCTGCAATTCCCAATATCAGTTAACTACAGTTGCTACAGTCAAATTACATGATACATGAATCACATGCCCATGAGTAATTTGGAGAGTACAACCACATATCCTACACTTTTCTTGCAGGGAAAGCCCCCGGAGGGGAGGAAGGGGAGCCTCTACAGTTTAGAAACCCATGTTCTCTCTACCAGACAAGAAGACGACAAAGATTAGCAGCAAAGAGAGATAAGAGAGTGACACAATTACAGTTTTGCCTGTGTTTATAAAAGACACAACACCTGTTTTGTCCACCAACTCTACTTCTATATTTTTTTCTTCTCTGTCATTGGACCGCCCTAGGGCACAAAGGGCTCCAGAAAACAACAAATGAACAGCATGGCCTTACATATTACTGGAAGTTTCATAATAAATCTAAACCAGTATCTTTGTTTTTCTGCGTGAGTATTAACCATTTCTTCATACCATCTAAACTCCTCACTGTAATACTTTTTGCATAACTCATCAGCAATGTTTTTTACACATTTATATATACAGAAGTAAAATAGTAGTAAGAAAAAAATCACAGTTACACAACAAGAATGCATAAGATACAGAAAATTAGATCATATATTAATATACATTCATGTCCCCAATTCTTAATTTTAGAGGATTCTACGCTTATATGTCGACCATATGAACCAATGTCTGTATGTATGGATCAAGGACATAACTAGATTAGACACAAGAAAAATGTTACACGAATATGCATTAGAAGTAAAGTCGCATAACAATTAGAGAAAATCACCTGCTTAATGTGTACTGGAAAGGTACACCAAACATTATAACAAGTCTGCCATAATGTCTATCAAAGTCTATGCCTTCCGCTACTTTTCCCCTGTCATAGGTCAGAGGTAACTTATCATCATTATCTCATAAAATCCCAATCAGTTCAGCATATCATTTCTCTATCCCCTCTTTAGACGTACATGCAGCAGTTTTTTTTTTTTTAATAGGACACATGCAGCAGTTTTCCACCTCAGAATCAATTTTTCACCAGCATGTAGCAAACAGCATTTGACACAAATTTTCCTAATGTCATTTACACAAATGCAGACATTTTTTAACTAAGCAATGCCCTTACTAGACTGCAAGACAAATCCCTCATTATGTAAAAATGAAGAGATTTCCGATAAGGTCCCGCTGCTAACACAAAATAAGAAAGACAGATGTCAGCCCCCTTTTTTTTTTTTTTGGCACAACCTAGAAGGTGATGCAATAACAAATCTTAAGCCTAAGGAATGTCTTGACAACCTTTATCATACCAGCAAAATCTGATCGCCCTGATAAAGATTTCTTTGCATTGTATGCCTGTTATCATTTTGTAGATTTACCTGTAAGTTGTTACAACAGATGTAGATTCCTGTGTTTTCAAGGCTAGGAAGAACAATATGGGGGTTAATGTTTCCATCACTCGACACTCCTACAACACAGAAGCCTCTACATTGAGGACGACTGTACCACCTAAGACCATAATGATATATTATTTCTATATGGCCAATCAGAAAAGGGCTCTACGTGTTAACATCCTTAAGTTCAACTTTAGCAACGAGCCAACAGCAATGAAAAAGATCATAGTCACTAAACAAAACCTACCACCGACCCCCAGAAACTTACAATCTAAGCATAAGAACAATTCTGATAGAAGGTTATTATTATAATTCAAACAATCTAAATATCAGAAATAATTACCTGGCAACAGAGAAAAATACAGCACCTCTCCCACAATCACAAGCCTTGCGATAGTTGTCCAGAGCCAATGTAGTTTCAACAACATCTTGAGTTTCAATAAAGACTAATTTGTGTTGCATTATATCCTGCAAGATGTATATCTGTGACTCAAAAAAAAGATATCTAAAGGAAAGCAGGCTTAAAGTGGTAGTAAAGTTTGATCTAATTTAACTAAGAATGAATTTCAAAAGTAGGGCATATGGGGTAAGTGCAGGCAAACGGCAATTGATGCAGAGAGAAGAAAAAAAAAAGCCCTTCAAAGCCAAAAACAAAAATAATCATTCGTTCTCTCTCTTTTGTGTGAGCTGTCTTCAGGGCAACACCCAAGTTTATCTTCGTCAACAGTTTCCTGAAAGCAATTACCAGTGTCATGTAATTGTTTGCTAGGTTTTTACCTTCATGAAATCATCGACACTTCTTCTGAAGAGGGATATACCCAAACAATTATAAATACCTGACTCAGTTTGTATAATCTATACCCAGCAACCTTCCCAGACATCTAAACGACAGAGAGGGGTGAACTATGCCATCCTAGGGGAGTAAGTCAACACCAAAAGAGAGGAAATTATAACTCTTATTGCTGGTTAATCAACTTTGTATTGATGGGGTTTGGGATGTCACGGCAGAGCAGACCGTTGTGATGGTGACTAAGCAGCAACTGGGATTAGATGATGGACCAATTTGAGCGTCATCGACAGTCTATATGTGAGGAAAAAGGGAGTTTATTTTTGAGTTTTAACATCAATTTTGTCCTTTCAGCATTATTAGCTGCTCTGGAATGAAAATTTTTGATCTGGCAACATGGCCAGCCTTGTGGAAATTAGATTTAAAGTATGTTGCTGTAAAACAAAAAATAAAAACACAAAATACGGAAACTTGATGTTGATAGATGATATAGTGTCACCTTTAGAATTCCCGATTCATGCCAACTATTGACTATTCCATCCATGTATGAGTAACTGACAAAGAAACACACAATTCCATCTGGAACAACAGACACCATCTCTAGCAAGAGCCGTCCATAATTTCTTTCAACACCAGGATCACTTCTCAGATCAAATTTTGTGCTAACAGGAAGCTGATCACTAGAAAAAAGCCAGAGGTAAGCATTACTCAATTAAAAAATCGAAGGGAATAAATATATCTCTGACCTTTTAATAAATACAATAGTTGCACCATTAGAACCATATATAAAGAAAGATTAAAACAATAATTGGAACATTTACCTTCCTCGAGTGAGAACCATTGGACATATGCAGTCCCTCGTCAAGGACATTGTAAAGCTTCGACTAACTACTGGATTGAAATTAAGAAGACGAGGGTAGAGATCAATTGGGCTGAGAGTACCAGATGTAATCACCACTGATTGGAATCGTTCAAATACAGGCTTTATGGCGAGAGAAGCATCATGGCAGCTAAGCTGTGATGTCAACATAAAAGGAGCATCTTTATAAAATAATATACAGGGATCGAATGGATGACAAGATTGAAGCAATCAAAACATCCACAAAGTAGACTATAAGAGCAAAAGCAGTGACTGGCTGATTCAAACCCCAGTCTTTTCTGTGAGGGAAATTTCTGTTCGCCTACTAGGATATTGCACATGAGGACTCGGAACTCTAAAAACTTTGGGCCACATGGAACACTGTGAACCAATACAGAGTTGCCTAAAGAAAACATGGTTTTAGTCCTAAGAAAGAAACATTAATTATGACTGGAACATACCTAGGTACGAGTAGTAAGTAGTTGTCTGGTATCTAGTAAGTGGAGATTAGCACCCAACTTATACTGGATAAATATAAAGAAACTTGAAATTCTAACAAAGCATACCTGCAACACGGGATCAGGAATATGCGGCATTCTCTCATCAAAAGGTTCAATTATAATTGAAAAACCTCGAGTGTAAGTCCCCACGAGCGTCGCAAAGTCACAAATTGTTTGGATGTGTAAAAACTCATCTGTGTCAGTTATCTCCAGTGTTAACATAAGTGAATGCAGTCGATCATAACAGAACTTCAACATTTTCTGGTCAATTCCGACCTGCGCATTTATAGAGGCAACAAAGGTAACAGGCCCCTCTTTTTCAACATTCTCAGTTTGCAGACGACCTTTAAGATACTGAACCAATCTGCGTAAAACAGACAAGAAGTGCTCTGCACGCCGTATGTTTCCAGGAACTGCTTCCTTTAGGATATCGTCAGGCAAAGCAGGATTTGCAAGCCAGGTATCCGCAACTGCAAAAATAGAGTACAGTTAGAAGCACATATAATCTAATGAATTAACTGTACATCAGAATTCCACGTACGAGGCAGATTCCCTCTTTGTGCCAAACCATCAACGAGTCGGTTGTATTCTGCACGCAATCTACCAGCATCAGTGGCCTTAAACCTACCTACCATGTCAAACAAAGTCGACACATTTATTAAACATTAGATAACCTGGACAGGTGGAAAAATCATGACACAATCTTTTTTTTTTTTTTTTTGATAAGAAACAAAGCATTGTATCGATCATAATAGTAAGTACAGCAATCAAAAAGAGTGGACAAGAAGTCCAAGCTCATACAACAAAAACAAAAAAGAACAAAGAAAATTCAAAAGAACAAACATAGTAGCCTCTACACTATCATTTGAAAGAAGACTAAAAATCACAAACGGCTCTCCATCCAGCCAAAATTCCAACAAGTGGAATGCCCTCAAAATCTTTAGTAATTGACACCCAAAAAGATGCCAAAAAAATATACGGCTCCATAAACCTTCCAATTTCACACACCTTTCCTCAAAATCCGAGCATTCCTTCCCAACCAAATCACTCACATTGTTGCAAGGATAGCACAATTCCATAGTGCAACTGCTTTACTGTGTCCTCCGAACCCCTTGAAATCCTCATCAACTATTTTTCTCCATCCCACAATAGGCAGCACGTAACTAAGTGGTTGGGGCACCAAGTGTTGAAAGTGTAAGCCTAAGGTATAGCAACTATTCGCAGTTTCGCACTATGAATTCTCAATTATTCAGAATTCAAAAAATAAATGATCACAACCTGCCAACAAAGAAGAATTAAGACTCAATATAGAATATACCAAAACGAGCTTGAATATACAGAAAACTACCAACTAAACTCAGTAATAGTCTCTTATCCATGTCGTCAACAACAACAACAACATTTAAACAAAAACAAGTTTCTCAGTAAACTTAGAACACCTACAATCAATTTCACAGACAGCTAAATGTGAATGTGCACACATCGTGCATAAATACCTTTCAATCTCCTGAGACATCTTACTGAGATTTCTCGTTGCCCCTTCAAGTGTCTGCTTCCGCACGCTAACACTAAGTGCCTCAATACACACATTATCGATATTGTGGGCCTCATCAAACACTACAACAGACTCTCTCTGCATCTCTTTTGATATGATCCCAGCAACCTTAGGATCTAGCAGGTACTGGTAGCTATAAACCACCACATTCGCAAATTGCACCATATGACGTGCCAAAAAGTACGGGCACCACCCTTTCTCCTTCCCAAACACCCTCAAATCCTGCATCAATCGTGGAAAAAAAACATGACTCCACAATTATTTGGCAAGTAATAACTCAGACAACAGTATTTCTCGGGCTATCAACCCCAGAAGTAGCAATTCAATCCAAAATTTCATAAGAAAAAGAACTGTCAAAGAAAATAGTACATGAAAGTAAATCACGAAGAACTCATACGAAAAAGAACTGTCAAAGAAAATAGTATATTAAAGTAAATCACGAAGAAAAAGAAGGAAAAAAGAAATGTGCATAATTACTTCGTCATAACTGGCAATAAATCAGGATTGTCCATAGCAATCAAGTTAATTGATCCTTTATCCACGTATGAATTACCTCGGATACTCAGAAACAAGCCAGGAAAGAAGTGAGCAAACTTGTACGAGAAAACAATGGGAAGAATATACCAAACAACATGTCTTTGTTTCGTACCTACTACAAATAAATCGAAAACTATATAAACCAACCAATGTATAACAGAACGCAAGAGATAAATCAGTTTCTTTTCACAATCAACAAAAAAATTAAGAATTTGACAAAATTATCTCGAACCTGTAAGGTATAGACCCCAGGAGGCAGCACCGCATCCGACGCGGCCTTCTCGTAGTTCTCAAAGAACTCGCAACTCGGAATATTAGGGTTTTCAATAGCCAGAGCCCGAACCCAACTAGCAGTTAGCTTCCTACAAGCCGCATCCACCGAATCTCGATTTTCCGCTGAAACAACACTCGGATTAATACACAAATTCTTCCTCGACGATAAACCCAACGCCAGAATCCTCGCCGCCGGACCGAGGTGTTGAATCTGATACTTATGAAGCAGTTTGAGCTCTGCTAGGGTTTTTTCCATCTCGTGGACGGTACGGGTGCAGTAGAGAAGCTTGATTGGATTGGATGGTTTTGAGAGTGTGTAGCTGGTGATTAAAGAAAGTAGAGCTATGGTTTTACCAGTTCCTGTGGGCATTTCGAGAAGGCAATGGCCTTTGGCGTCTAGGGCACGCTTGAGCTCGACCATGTATGCGTATTGTTCTGGGTATATGTGGTCGTAGGGGAAGTATACTGTTACGTCTTCGATTTGGAACTTCATCTTTCTCGCTCTTCTCTTTACGAAGAATGACTCTGGCTTTATTAGGGTTTACTAATGAAGACGAAAAAGATTCAGTGATGATCGCTGGACAAGAGGCCGGGTCGGAGCCAGAAAATCCTCGTACTGGAGCAACCTAAAACTCACAATAACTAACGCAAATATTGTTTTCACAAAATTTAATTTTTTTTTTAGCACTTTTTTTTATAAACACAATTTCATTATAAAAAAAATAAATAAATAAACACAATTTCACTAAAAGAATGCTAATTGCAGGCGCAACTAGAACTGTTAAATAAGACTATCTACTCGAGTTTGATTTGTGTTCAATTTAGATAAAATTCGATTTAAACTCGACTCATATTTTAAATGAGTTGAACTTTAACAATTTTTAAACAAGCTTAAAAAGACTTACCTCAAACTCATAAAATTTGAATCATTTATGTATAAAATAGTTGAGTTATTCAGACTCTGATTCGTCGAGTTCTAAATGAACTGAATTTGAATAATTTTTAAATTCGTTTAATTAAATAAGCTCACCAAACTCAGGTTTAAACTTGCAAAGTTCAAGTCAATTAACATTTCTAGGTATAACCAGCTCTCAAACGAGAGCACAACCTGAGAGTCAACTAAAAATAAATTATCCAAAAAAAAAGTAATTTAAATGGAACAAGAAAATGCAATGACCAAGAGCCAAGTGAAAAAGGATGCCCGTTTCTAAATCGGATAAGCTTAAGCCCATACATACTCTTTATAGGTCCCAATGGCANCAAGAGCCAAGTGAAAAAGGATGCCCGTTTCTAAATCGGATAAGCTTAAGCCCATACTCTTTATAGGTCCCAATGGCGNAACAAGAAAATGCAATGACCAAGAGCCAAGTGAAAAAGGATGCCCGTTTCTAAATCGGATAAGCTTAAGCCCATACATACTCTTTATAGGTCCCAATGGCATTATTCTTTGTAATTTACAAACAGACGATTAGGAAATTAGTCAAATAAATTCACCTCTACACGTTGAATAAAGTGATGATTGTGACACTATGATTACAAGTTCAACGTTGCATAGAAAATATCCAAATTCAACAATGCATAGATAATGAAGATACTAAAAATTACCCGGGGTTAAACTCAACCCAATAGAAGATAGGGGGCTTATGTAAACTTTCATATGTTTATATTAATATAATGATATAATTTTTTTAATAATTCTAATATATATAAAGACGTAAGATGAACCACATAGATTATAACAGTATAAATAAATATTTTGGAGACAAATTGATTGTGAAATTTAAGTTGCGAATGTATTTAAACTTGGAAGAAGTTGTTAGGTAAGTTCAAAATATTTTTAGGTCAAAATAAGATTTTCATTAAATCCGGAAGGTCGAGAAACCTTGGGAGAAGTAATATGGGGTGTATTAGAAGTTAGAAAGTGTTCCAGAGTTTTTTAGAGAGAGAATTTGGGTAAAAAGAATCTTAGACACTACCTAGTATTTTGATCATAAATTTTTATTCTGAAGTCCATTAGATCTGAAATTTTGACAGTAGATAGTAGACTTCTACGGTTACAAAACTGTATTTCAAAAAAATTTTCCAATTCGACCTCTAAAGGAGCCAAAACTATACTGAAAGTTAGAACAAAAATCTGTCAATCAAACTGTACCGGTACGCAATACTGGTACGCCCAACTCCAAAGGCTAAACAGTACCGGTACTGCGTACTGGTACGCTTTATTTAAAGCTTGCCGAACAATAAAAAAATCGGGATTTTTATGTTTTAAAACACCATTCTAAGCCCCCATTTGTCCCATTCTTTCTTTCCACTCTCACCCCATACCTCTTAGAACCCTAATAGAAAATAAAGAGAGAAAGAAAATGGAGGAATNTTCCACTCTCACCCCACACCTCTTAGAACCCTAATAGAAAATAAAGAGAGAAAGAAAAGGGAGGAAGAAGGTCTTCAAAACTTGGGCTTTTGATTTGAAATTCTTGATTACAAGATAGGGGTTTTCTTCAATTCTTGTCCATTGATGTTATGACTAATATATATGTATGTTTTGACTCCTAATCTTATGTATTTGTTATGGATTTTTTGTTTCTTGGTCTTCTTGCAATTATTATCATATTTTAAACAAAGTTAGGGTTAAATACCCATAAAATATTTTTTTCTTGATCNTTCTTACAATTATTATCATGTTTTAAACAAAGTTAGGGTTAAATACCCATAAAATCTTTTTTTCTTGATCTAAAACCCTAGTTTTCAAGAGTGATGGATTTTTCTTTTGATTCTTCCTTGGTTCTTGATTTCAAAATTTTAGTGTTTTGTGTTGAGTAATAAAATGATATTGATGATGATTTCTTGCATTTTCTTCAATGTTCTATTGAAATGATACATGTGAAAATTTGGGGATTGTTGAAATTACTTGGGCTCTTGGAAATACCCATGGAATTGGGGGTTTTGAAAATTGTTTGTTATTGATGGAATTGTTGGTATTGTATCTTTTGTGTGGTTGTTTGGATAAACATTGTCTACAATTGACTGGGTATCATGGAGTGGATAGACGTCTTCTTACTTCGTGCGGGTTTGAACATATCCTATCACTCGTAGTGGGGCTGGTGTTNCATGGAATGGATAGACGTCTTCTTACTTCGTGCGGGTTTGAACATATCCTACCACTCATAGTGGGGCTGGTGTCTTGCGAGGAACAAATCACTATTAGCTCACAGGTGCCATGTCAAAAGATTAGTATACTAATGTCTGGGTTGGATTCATCACTGCCATGGTGTTGGCACATGCCCTTCCCAAAGGTTGGATAATCTTGCAAGGATTTGTGTTTATGGATATCTGGGACATGATGTTTTCGATGGTGGCCATGCTAGATCTTACTTCATACTTGAGATATGAATACAGTGGTGGGTTATTGTTCATTGTACCAGAAATGGTTTCTACAAGAATCTTAGGAAGTATGAGATTCTGCCAGAACTTGGGAGAAACGGTTTATGGTGGAATGGATTATTAGTCGTATATCGTAATGGTGGGTTATTGTTCATTGTAGCAGAAATGGTTTCTACAAGAATCTTGGGAAGTATGAGATTCCGCAACAACTTGGAAGAAACGATTTATAGTGGAATGAGTTACTAGTTATATATTGGTTTCACTTATGCATTAAATTACTGTTGTTGCTTAAACTTGAGATCTGTTTAAATATCTCTGTTTTATTTCAAAATTCATATATTTGTGAAAGGTAACCGACTGTTTTTATATGTTTTCTAAACCTTATTCGAATTTGGGAAGATTTTTCCTATAGAGCTTAGTGCTCACCCCCTACAAACAAACATTTCTCATATTATATCCGAGAGGAGGATCTTGGAGGCGATGAGCAGGTACCTTGGGAGACTTTGACAGAAGCGAACATGGATTCTGAGGTGGACGCCTAGAGCGACTTTACCTTTTTATTCTAGACTCGATAATTCATTTTGAAACATTGTAAAGTCTAGCTCTTTTTTTTTTATTTCAGTGCACTATAACAGTTAAATTTTTGAGATGTAAGCGCTATAGTGTGCATATTCTTTTGGGATAATGTTGTAAATTTTATGAATGATGAATGAAATCTTATTTATTTATGGATCATATTATTTGCTCTCATGATTTGAATGATTTCAAATTGTAATATCTTCCAAGGTGGTTTTTTGGGTATTACAGCTTACCCTCACTAGGCCCACGATATAATGTCAAAATTTTGTTCTAATCGAGACAGCTAAGGTTAGGTGAATAAGCTGATCTCTCAATCCCTAGCTTCCCAGGTGGTCATCCAAGATCAAAAATCCTAGCTCAGATATCACATATCAGACATCCCAGGTTGGACCTCATAGCTTAGACCTTCTAACCCCGAGAGTCCTTGTTCGGGAGGCGCAAATCGGGAATTGTCACCAAAGTGACCGTTGTGTGCACTACGACAGTGATAGCTCACACATTCTAGAAAGTCACGTCACACTTATGGATAGGGGTGTTTAAATTTTCGATTGACTGCAATTTCGTACCCTACCCTACCCTATTAAACAACTAGCCACAAAAATCGGGTAGAAATACAGAAGAGTTGTTGATATTTCGATTAAATCGAGTAGGAATGCGAAATAGCCATCAATTTTTGCATTCCTATTCTACCCTACCCGCATTAATTAATTAATTAATATATATACATAAAAACTAAAAAAATCTTAATTCCTAAACCAACCTTATCATTTACTAACTAAGCAAGCGCCTCACTCCACTCCTCTCATCTTGCCTCCATCGACTTTCATCGCTCAAGCTTCTGCCTCTATAGTTTAGGCCTTCACCGTTCAGTCCCGACCTCCCCAGGTACTCTCTCTTCCCTTCTCTTTGTCTCTCTCTCTCTCTCCCTATCTTTGTTTGGGCGCAATCTAGTGGCCTTCATCGTTTAGGCCTTCATCTGCAAATCTTAATTTATTTATTTTTTAAGCATCAAGTTAATGAACCTGAAAACTCTAGCTTTCAAGCATTGTTCAAGCCTTCTCTGTTTTTTTTAAGCATCGTTCAAGCATTTTCTATTGTTTTTTTAAGCATCATTCAGGCATAATTATTATTGTATTTGTGTAATAATTATGATGGATTGATGATCATGCTTTTCTTGTATTTTATTGTAATTGTTTTAGATTTTAGTGTTATTGATTTATTGTATTGTTAAATTGGTGCATGTTATTTAATTGAATTGTTAAAATGATTCAAGAATTAATAGCTAAAAAAATGTTTACCCAACTTTCTACCCGATTAATTGGATAGAAAGTCAGGTAGAAATACCACACCTGATCAGGTGGAGTAGGCCAAGAAAAAAAAATTTCGTAAAGTATCAGGTAGAAAAATGAAAGACTATATTTCCTACATGTAGGGTAAGATGAACACCCCTACCTATGGAATTTAAGCCTCTAATGGCCAAATATTCCATCACATGAGTTATAACAACCCCAAAGGGATCACGTTGATCAC